TAAAGTATTTGAAAGAAATGGACATGGAATTTAATGTTGTTCAAAGAATTCTGAACTTTTTAGTACAAGAAGGAAGTTTGCAAATTCTTCTAAGCCAATTTCTCTGAATTATATACACAGCCAATATCCTCTCTACAACTGAAATCTGGATGCATACTCTTATGCTTTAAAAATATTTTCTAAAATGAGACCTTGCTCCATTTCAAAGTGCCACTGGACGATGGCATAGTTATTGAGACCTGTTGTTTATCATAGTTCTGGGCTTCTTAACAGCTGCTTCAGATACTAGAGGAGTAAGCAGACTGAAAAGTAAAAGACAAGGTTAAAGAAAATGTGTCAGTACATCTTCATTTTACTGCACATGTTAGATGTTCTCTGTAATGATCTCAATCAATTTTAATCCTATAAAGTTCATACTTCTCTATTTTCCACATGAAGGTTAAAAATCTAAATAATTATTCTTAATTACATTTTCACATTTGACCAGGATAAAAGCTGAACTAGGATCTAACTGATGGCTCTGAAGTATGTGCTTTCTCCACAAGGAGAGAATAAAGTAAGGAGATTGCTAAAAAGCAGAGAAAGAAGAGGAAGTAAACATGAAAGACAGAAAGAACCCACAAAAGATTTCATGGTAGACTGTACTGAGATTGAAAAAATTTCCAAGAGGAATAGTTGCAGTGAGCCAAAATGTAGAAAATTGGGGCAACAGTGTATTTTCCAGAAGCAAGATAACTTTCCTATAAAATATGCTGTGATGGTGTTCATAACAATCTGCTATTCCTTAAGAAAGAGTATGATTCTAGTATTCCATTACAGCACAAATCCCACACAGCTACAGTGACTTATCGACATGCCTTTATCCATTAATAAAACAGAGAGAGGACAAAAATAACCACTAGCCATTCATTTTTGCAAAGAGAGCTCCAAGTGTTTTGCCACAAAAGTTCTTTTTCTATGCATATGTCAGCTGGAGACATTTTGGCTCCTATCACAACATTGTCACTAAAAAGCTTTCAATTTTTCCTATTGGCTAAAAATAAAATACTATGCTTTAAATGTGGATCATTTTCAAAATGTGTATCTCCAAATAGCTTGAATCTTTATACATGGAAAAATTCATTATAAAATGCCAAAGATGGGTCCTCCTTGGTGGCGCAACAGGTAATGACGCACTACTGCAAGCAAGCCTCAGCCACGTCAGTGCAAGTTCAATCCCCACCCGGGGCGGTGACCCACATGGTGTGGCAGATCTCTCCTGACCCGCCCACTACTCCCCTCAGCTCCCCTTCATTGACCTGCCTGTCCTGCTCCCCACTCTGTCTCTGGTGAATCCAATCCCCACCCCTGCACCTCTGCCTGTACCCCAGCTCTCTATGCATAAATAAATAAATAAATCTTTTAAAAATAAATAAATAAATAAATAAATAAAACGCTGAAGATGCTAGGGCAAGATATTGGATTTTATGACCCCATGTTGTTGTTTTCCTGTTTTTTTAAAAAACACACATAACAGGCCCTCCCTGGTGGCACAGCGGGTTAAAGCACAGCACTGAGAATCTAAAGCCGCTTCCGAATGAGTTCGATTCCCGCCTGCCCCGGAGGTGACCACATGGTGTGGCAGACCTCTCCTGACCCGCCCGCTGCTGCCCTCAGCAGTGTACTTCGTAGATCTGCCTGTTGTGTTCCCCACTCTGTCTCTGGTGAAGCCTCTCACCGCCCCTGAGCCTCTGGCCTGTACCCCAGTTCTGTACGCACAAATAAATAAATCTTTAAAAAAAAAAATTAAAAAAAAAAAACACACATAACAAACAGAAGTCCTTCTGAATGCTTCATATGTCCATAGTCATAGTTCCTTCTAGCTTTTTCCTTTAGACTTTGGTGGTGGGGTAACTATGAGATAAAGTAATTATAAAAGAGATGAAAAACAATATATGAACTATAAAAAACTATTTGGGAGCTGACTTACAAATAAACATCTTCTACTGCAGCTGATTATTTCTGAGTTTTCTGCTCTCCTGAAGTTCTTTCTTGTGTTGTTGGCAATGGGAGAAAAATAGGAAGAAGAGAAACAGGGAAGTCAGAGAAAAAGAGTATCCAGCATTTTGTTCTCCAAAAGGATGACGGCTTGCTTACATATATTACATAGAACTTAAATAGATTTTTTTAATTGAAGATTTCTACTAAGTGGAGCAATGAGGTAGGTATATGGAATCATTGTTAAAAAACATATCCCCTACAGTGTTGGGCATTTACACCTTCATGTTTATTTTCAGTTTATTATCCCTTTCTCATTAAAATCTGTTGTTTCTATCTATTTCACTCATACATAGTACTAAGTAGCATTCTCTCCCTTCAGAGTTTTGTTTCTCTTTCTCCTCTCCATGTAACTGTTATCAATTGTGTTATGAAAGAATAAGTTCCTCTAAACATATGCTAACTGCAGCACAACAACCCCTTGTTACTTGCCCAGTTAGAATATTTTCCTATTATCATCCTCTCCCAAAGACAGTCTGAAAAGAAATTGGAAATGAGCATAATTAACCAATTCACATAAGAAAATGAACAGGCAATGTCTAAATAAATATCTGTAAGTAAAATAAAGCTAACTGGAAACCTCAGTGAGATGTGATTCTTCACATGTCAAATGAATAATCAATAGATGAAGCTAAAAACATACGTTTTATTATGAAAAAAATATGGAGGACAAATTTTAGTGTAAATAAATACTGGATAGTAACACTCTAGGAATTTCCCATCTTCTCTTTCTATTTAGGATAATGTTAAACCAGATATGTATAGGCCTCCAGTGAAATTTTGCTCCTTGCAGGTAGATGTCTCCAAGAAAAAAGCAATGGACTAATGTGAGTGTGCCTAATTCATTCTCTCCAAATTCATCTATCACAGGAAGTCTCTACCTCCTCAGCTGGGCAATGAGTAAACAGAGAGGCAAGTTACAGAACATGTGGATGGTTATGATAACTTGAAAAGAAATATCAAGATTAGAAGAAAGAATCCCCCCATCACCAAAAAAAATAATTTGCTGTACACATAAATTTCATGACCCATAAACTTCATGACCCAATGCATTAAAGCTTCTGAAAGCCCACTAGTAGAGATTTATTGGTTTGCATTAAGGTATCTTAAGTAGAGTTTCTTTTTAATTATAAATGACCCCAGGAGGCAAAATACCACTAACTCCTAAAATGCTTACTCAATTTTACCAGATATCAGACAACCCTTAGTAAAGAAGGGATTGGATTGGAAAATTGAAAAGGTCACTAGATTTCTGTCAAAACCAGACAATGTGCAGTCACTGGGTCACTGGCATGAATCAGAAGCCCTAGTTCTAATTTTATTATTATTTTTAGTTCATAAAGCACTAGTTTCCTTGGAATCTCAGAATCTTTTCTCCACTGTGAAAATCAGAGGGTTAAATTTTTGAAACCTAGAGCCTCATCCAATACCAACTACCAATTATGGAGTAGCCAGAAGTAAATACAGAAATGAGACTCTAGACTAAGTTGTTGGGGTGGGTGGAAAAGGGTAAACCGGAAATGAACGTGTTATATGTTCAGACATGCATCATCTACTTTCCATTTCCTTAGCATCCCAGCTAGTTAAGGTTAATATGGATTTGCCTCTATGTTGCTTCAGCTATCAGTATTAACATTATTAGAAATAAGTGAGCTATCTTAATCCACTTATCTTGGATGGCATGCATCCCTTACTCTCTTATTGCCAAAAACACAAAACCTAAGGAAAATGCAAGTAAAATTCTTTACGAATCTATATACTAAATATTGCTGTAAACATAAATTCTACTCTTATGCCAGGGTCAAAGAAGAATTCTCTTCAGTTTCTCTTCATTTAGAGTAGTAAATAAAAGACCAGAGAGCAGACTGTGATGGAAGATTCATTATAAGCGGAAGCCTGAATCACTCTAATTACACAGTTTGTAAGTGCAAATGGCACCCGTTTCTTGGCAGATTAAAAAGCCAAGTGATGAGAAATATTGCTGAGCTAAACATACCTTTTTAATAAGCTACTCAAATCAACACTCCTGTTATCCCTTGACACACACACACAAATTGTTCCTGTAAGCCTAATAAAATCTCATTTGTTTTACCTGAAGATCCTATGAACCACCTGGTGCCTCTCTTTGCACTCCTGATTCTCCATTAACTTATGCTTGGTAGAAATTAAGGCTTTTAGCTGATTATTCTTTCCACTAGGTTCAAATTTCAAAAGTCAACACATGTATTTGAAGCCAGCAGTCCAAAATGAAACTATTAGAACCAATGTTGAAAATACTAACTAATATTAGTAATAAGATTATAAAACTTAGATTGTAATTAGGCCAGTATGTTTTGTAATGACAACATGTTGGAAATAATGTACAATGTTAAGTTATATTCACAAAACACTTTTACCAGGGATTTTCATTATACAGTAGTTCTTCTGGCCACTGTATATATACTGGTCAATGCTCCTGTATATATTAGTAAAAAAATCTATTCTTTGTTCTGATTTAAGTTTAATGATGTCTTCACTGAGAGGGCCAAAGGCCATATAAGAAAATACAATCGATATCTTCAAATAAAAAAAACACTGCCCCTCAAGAATAAAATTCATTCACAATTAGATTTTTAAATGGGAAATTTGTTGTAATATAAGTTGTGTGGCTGTGGACCTCTAGTGGGTCCAGGATCTAGGGTGCACCTGTGAAGAACAAACCAGAGGGATGACTGCTATCCAGCATGCAGTGAATCTTTATTTTGCAGCGTGCTCTTTATATAGTCCATATTATCAAGCTGAAACAAGAGCATATTGACTTAATCTCCCAAGACAATCTCAAGCAGTAACAATAGCATATTGGCTTATTCTAACTATATATCTGGTGTTCTAATTCTTGGAACACCCTGTCCTGTCCCAGATGGCTGAGCCCTCGCACCCACCCGGACACTTCTCTTGATAAGCTCTTTTGCTATCTTTCTCAGATGTGGCTGCTTGTTCGCATGACCTATTTTCTCTCATTCTTGGAGCTCAAACCTGGCACTTGAGGGCATTCTCCTAAGGTGCGTGCACTTTCACATGTCTTTTATTATCTAAGTCCAGATGCCAGTCAAGGTTATGCAAAAGCTTTGCCAATATGTGGCCTTCCATTACTAAGCGTTTTCGGGAGAGAAAATTATTAGGCAGCTATTTGCTGATAAAGCCTTAAATGTTAACATTGAATTATTAATAAGTTGTGTTTTAGATATTTTATTATGAAGCAAATTTCATTTTTCTTAAGGTGATCAGCTACACCAAGGGGAGGCCCACTGAGGGAAAAGATTTGAAAGGAAAAAGTTTTGCAAGTCAAGCAAAGTAGATAGTTTCATTTTTCATAGGTTAAATTTTGGTGCCTCTGTGGAAATTTGCTCACAGGTATAGGATGTGACAAAAATATTTCCAGATTCTGTTGACAAATGAGCAGGAAACTAATTTCTTGTCAATTATAATTGACAAGTCACCAAAATTTGCTTCCATATTCCCTAGCCTGTATTTTTTGTTTGCTTGTTTTTTTCATTCTGTATGGTCCTCTCTCATCTGGGATTTTGGATGCCCTGTAACCTCTCTATGCCAACCTTCCACAGCTCCTGACAATCGGGAGAAAACGGACACTGACTAAAACTACAGGCTTACATTTGGCATCTTTTTCTAGTCCCATCAGTTGCCAGATCATTTTCTGTAACATCCTTGCCTGATTACCTTCCAGAGTATGAACTGATCCACAGAGAGTTCCTTGCTTCCCTGTTCTCTACTTAGATAATACTAATACATTTCTTTTTAAAAGTGTATTTCTCTACGTAGATAATACTAATACATTTCTTTTTAAAAGTGTATTTCTACGTAGATAA